TATACCCCACCCTCCACTACCCAAAGGTGTTTCAGAGCGGCTTACAAACTCCTTTTCCTTCTCCTCCCCACAACAGGCACCCTGTGATGTAGGTGGGGCTGAGAGAGCTCTTGACAGAAACTGCTCTTTTTCAAGAACAGCTCTTATCAGAACTGTGGCTTGCCCAAGGCCATCCAGCCAGGTGCAAGTGGAGGAGTGGGGAATCAAACCCGGTTCTCCCAGATTAACCACTAAATTTAACCACTACACCACTACACCAAAGTGGCTCTCATTTATTTGTTTATAACAGGTTTTAGATATATTTCTATGAAATAAGACAGGCCCCTGAAGATGTGAAGACTCACCTACATGAGCTGTGACGTAGTTTACACATATTTTTACATTATATCAGTAAATGGATCTCAGTACTGCACCAACTTGCTAAACCTTACAAATGGGCTGCTCCGAAAGGAAGAACTATTTATTTATTTAATTTGGCTTATACCCCCTCCCTCCCCGCCGAGGTGGGCTCAGGGCGGCTTACATAACATTTCATAGAAATATACCTAAAACCTATTATAAACAAATAAACAAAATAGCAATAATTTAAAATACGCACTGGAACATAATGCACTGGCGTTTAACATAAGCACTCCTCAAAGTGTGATGCTGTCTTCCGTGGAAGCAGTTAGAGCATGGGCTCCTATTGATAACTGCTTGAGCAAAAGGATTGTTTACACTCCTGATGAAAGATTAAGCTTTTTTTTTTTAATCTTACAAAATTACATTCATGTAAACGTTAAACAAATTTTGAAAAGTCCGGATTTAGATGCCATAGTCTCTTAAACTTCTCTTGATGGTTATTCCTTTGGGAAATCTACAGCACATGACCAAATCCACACTTTAAATTGACTGAAAATCACATCTATTAGATTAATAGAGCATGCAAAAAACCAATCTGAAATAGTCCAGGGTTATAATCACCTGATGTTTATGCTCATAACAGTAACTTCCTTTGAAGCGACAGTTTGTTTGAATGATCTTGTATTTGGAAGGTAGAAAGGCTGATCGTGAAACCCCCAGTAATAATGAAATCCCAGATTCCCAAGGACACGAGTCTTTAAGATATCGACATTTTCTTTTCTCACCAATTAATGCTACCTACTCTTCCTGCTATTGATGCTGCTTATGGTATACTGCTCCTAAATAAAAATGTCTGTCTTTAGTCCTGCAAGATGAGTGAGCAGGCCTTGGGAAGGAGTGGGGGAGAATTGGGAGGAAAAAAAGAAGTCTGCTAGCCTAATGTCTACGCCAGGCAAATTTAGAGGAAGGTCTTATTAAATCTAGACTTGCAGAAAAAGAAGCCTTGCTGAAAGAGTCAGCATGGCTTCTGCAGAATGAAGTTCACCACTTTAAAATACTGGAGAGTATCCACAGCCATCTCGATGAGGTGCCTGGCAGATACGTGCAGCCAGGGGTCATTTCCTGCAGGAGCGCACAGGAGCAGAGCTCCGGCAGTAAAGAGCCAAGGGGGTGGGCACATGCAACAAGCCCCGCCCCCTGCTCCCAGCAGCCCTCAGAGCAAAAAGCAGCCAGGTAAGCTGCAGAGCTCCCCTCGGCTCCCCGGCCCAAAACAATCCAGTGGCACCTTTAAGACCAAGTTTTATTCAGGTTCAAGCTCTCCCTCCTCTGCGAGGACAGACCTGCACGTTCCCCCCCCCCCCCACCTAGCAACCCAAAACAGTCTAGTGGAGCCTGAGCAGTCGGTGTTGCCTTCTGACACACTTCCGGTGATGTCAGTGGGTGTGGCATATGCAAATGAGTTACGCTAATGAGCTCCTGCACCTCTTTTTCTACGAAATGACCCCTGTGTGCAGCAATATTTTAAAAGCTAAAATCCCTCTACACACAGCTGTATGTGGGGGTCTGACTTTAGCCCCCTGTCATCCTGCTACTTGGCTGTTGGAGAAAGAGTTTAGTTTTCCGTGTGTGTGGTACCTGGCCACACACTCGGTCCCTCAGTTCATCTAGGGATACTTTACAAATATTGTCTCAAAGTAGAACAGGGTGTTGCACTTCCACAAAATTCTGACAAGTCCTGATAACTGTTCCATAGCTGATCAGTAAGCAGAAAGTATGAATTAATGGTCAGCTTTTCACAAGGGAGAGAAGCAAAAATGGAGCTGCCCCAGGATCCATATTGGGATTATTTATTTATATATAGAACAAAGTTTGAGTCCAGTGGCACCTTTAAGACCAGTAAAGTTTAATTCTGGGTATAAGCTTCCATGTGCATGTATCTGAAGAAGTGTGCATGGACACGAAAGCTTATACACAGAATTAGACTTTGTTGGTCTTAAAAGTGCCACTAGACTCAAACTTTGTTCTGTTGCTTCAGACCAACACGGCTACCCACCTGAATTTATTTATGTATACAGTCTGCCTTTCTCACTAAGACTCTAAGTGGGTTATGCATTGTAAATCAATGCAATCAGTAGGCTGTTACATCTAACAAACAATATAATAGGCCATGGAATTGCAGAAATTGGAAATGGAGTTGTCTGAGCAAAACATAATTATCAAACACGACACATCAAAACAGTGCAGAAGTGTGCAGGCACCTTTGGAATTCTAAGACAGGGTGTTGGGCGCAGACATAAAATGGATGCCACGGGAGGAGGAGCCAGCCGCATAGTGGAAGCTCAAGTGCAAGGAGAGGAGAGGGGCAATTGAAAAATTGTGCTGGAAAAGAGGAGTGAGAGAGAATGCAACCAACACTGTGTGGTGGCAGCTGCTGTTGTAACAGTGTCATTTTACTCTGCACAGCCAATTGGATATCCAACGGCCAATCAGAAACCCTGCTGGCTAAGAGCCCCACCTGACCCCATCCACTTTCTGAAAACATTTGGAAGGCTCCATGGTTACCACGTTGGTAAAAGGTAAAGGTAAAGGTTCCCTTGCTCGAAAGCCAGTCGAATCCGACTCTAGGGTTGCGGTGCTCATCTCCGTTTCAAAGCCGAAGAGCCAGCGCTGTCCGAAGACGTTTCCGTGGTCATGTGGCCAGCATGACTAAACACCAAGGCGCACGGAACGCTGTTACCTTCCCACCGAAGTGGTACCTATTTAGCTACTTGCAATTTCTTGCTTTCGAACTGCTAGGTTGGCAGGAGCTGGAACTAGAGACAGGAGCTCACCCTGTCTTGCGGCACCCGGGTCTTGAACTGCTGAACTACTGACCTTCCACAGCCTGCAGTTCAGCGTCTTAACCACTTGAGCCACCGCAGCTCCTACCACGTTGGGGACCCCTGGAATACTGTGTACAGTTGGGGATTTGTAGCTTTCCCAAAGCCGTTCGCGCAGAGCTAAAGTATATCATTAGTAATGGTGCAGTGAATATAATTAAGCATTAGGTTTCTTCCTTGCAGTGCTGGAATTGAGTGTTGAGGTAGATAAGGAGAAGGGCTCAGAACTGGAGCCTTTCATGGTGTAGTTGGTCAAAGGACCTCACATAACTGCTGGGGAACATCTTGAATTGGCAACATTTCTCCAAATTCTCAGGTAAAACAGACGTATTGGGCTTAATGGATCCATAAGTTTGCTCAAGAAGTCAATGACATATGAATGTATAATTTACTGAGATGGGCATCAGTTTCTGTCTGCACAATGCCCAATCAAGTTTTTTTTTTTTTTGCAAGATGTAGTGACAGCTGCTAACTTGGATCCCTTGAAAACAAACTGGACACAGTTATACAGGATAAGTCTGTCAGTGGCTATTAGCAGTAAGCGCTAAGAATGGACCCTGTATTGTTAATGTGCATTTAGCTGGGGACCAATGAAATGGCTTATTTGCAAAATTTATCTTTTCATAAAAATGTAAACGTAGGCTTTCAGTAAGCTGTCCTGTAAAATTCAGTATTAAAATACATGCAGCACCATCAGCTGCAGTATGAAAATGAAGTGAATTAATAAGGGTAGTAAAACAACCAAAGATCAATTATGGAAATAAGGAATTGTAACTTCCAAAAGCCAATAAGAACAAAGTTTTGCTATGCTATAGAAAGCTCTCATGCTGTGGAAGGGTATAGTGTAAACCGATCTCATCAGATCCTGGAAGCTCAGCAGGGTCTGTACTTGGGTGGGAGACCACCAAGGAAGGCTCTGCAGAGGAAGACAATGGCCAACCCCCTCTGCTTAATCGCTCGCCTTAAAAATCCTATGAGGGTCGTCATAAGTCAACTGTGACTTGACAGTACTCCGCACACGCACACTAGAAAGCATCAGTGAGAAGCAAGTGAACCATCTTTGGGAAGGAATTCTAAAGCCGTAAAACCATGCTTCTAAATAATAGCTGGAGCTCTCTAGCTGACCTTAAATTTCATGGAGGCTCACAAGGTTTTCACGCCCTGCTTGCAAGCTTCCCCGGAGGCATTTGAATGGCCACTGGTAGAGAATGAAGTTGATTTTTGGCAGCTCAAGGTTTTTTAGTATTGGAAAGAGCCGTCAAGTGGCAGCTGTCTTATGGCGACCCCCATAGGGTTTTCAGGGCAAGAGATGTTCAGGGGTGGTTTGCCCTTCCTGGACTTCCTCGGTGGTCTCCCATCCAAGTCCTAACCAGGGCCGACCCTGCTTAGCTTCTGAGATCTGACAAGACAGGGCTAGCCTGGGCCATCCAGGGCAGGGCCAGGGTATTTTGGGCTCGTCAAAAGCTAATCACAGTGTGAGACTCTTCTTTGCAGGTTCTGCAGTGCAAAAATTACTCACGACGAGTCATCTAATCTAATCCGCCTTTAGCTTATTTCATGCCCTGACCTGGACGGCCCAGGCTAGTCCAATCTCATCAGATCTCTGAAGCTAAGCAGGGCTGGTCCTGGTGAGTACTTGGATGGGTAGACCCCCGAGGAAGTCCAGGGTCACTATGCAGAGGCAGGCAATATCTGTCCCAGTACACGGTAGAAGGTTCTTTGGAGGGTGAAATATTGAGCTGGAATTCAAATTTTCTTGCATGTTCTTTGTCCATGCAGGCTCCCCAGGGAATGAAATTGATAATTCAGCCAGCAATCTAGAAAGAACGGTAGGGGTCCCAAGCAAAAAGGAGACATCGAGCCAGATTACGGAGGAACACAAAGCTGGAGAGAAAGTGACAGAAGGACACACCAAAAAAGGGACCGATGAATCAGAGAGTGATTTTGAGTCGGATCCTCCGTCTCCTAAGAGCAGTGAGGATGACGAAGAACAAGAGGATGAAGAAGTCTTGCAAGGTGAGCCTGGAGACTTCATCGATGACAACGATACTGAACCGGAGAATTTCGGCCAGCGGCCCCTTCTCATGGATTCTGAGGACGAGGCTGAAGATGAGGATAAGCAGAGTTCCGATTCTGACTCTGGTCATGCCGGGGCTGTAGAAGACGTGCCTTGCAGCCGATACAAAGAAGAGATGGGCAGTGGTGAAGTCAGGGAGCCTATGGCAGCTTTCTCTGGGTTGTCTGAGTTGCCAGGAACGGTTTCCCAGGGGAGCCCCAAACAAGAATTTGATGTGTTTGGCGCAGTCCCATTTTTTGCTTTTCCACCCCAAGAGCCTACATCAAGGCAAAATGATGGCAAGGATCTCTCATCCCAGGCGGCTTTCCCCGGCTTAGAACAAGATCAAGACGACTTCGATGTCTTCACCAAAGCCCCGTTCAGCAGAAAAGTGTCTCAGCAAGACGATTTGCTGGCGGATGCCGAAAACCAACCTTCTCCCTTCTCTCCCAAGAGCGTCGATATTTTTAGCTGCATTCCATTCCACCCCCTTTCCATCCCAAAGGACAGCGAGAACAAAGAGGATGTCTTTGGGCTCGTTCCGTTTGAGGAGGTAGCCGGGAACCAGCAGCAACAAAAAGTGAAGCAGCAGCGGAACCTACAGAAACTCTCTTCCCGCCAGAGACGTATGAAACAGGACGCCCCCAAGAGTAACGGGAAGCGCCATCACGGCACTCCGACTAGCACCAAGAAGACCCTGAAGCCAAGTTACCGCACACCGGAAAGAGCCCGCAGGCACAAGAAGGCCGGCCGTCGGGATTCCCAGAGCAGCAACGAGTTCCTCACGATCTCCGATTCCAAGGAGAATATAAGCATCGCGCTGACGGACAGCAAGGACAGAGTCAACCCTCTGCAAGCGGACGACGGTCTCCTGGACCCTTTTGGAGCCAAGCCGTTTCACCCAACGGAGCTGGTGCGTCTCCCACAGCATCAAGGCTTGGGTGACCATCGGGCGGACCATAACGCAGTAGTGCCCGGTAGACCGAGACAAAGTTCGCTCATCGGTGCCATCCATTCGGGTGACGGGGTGAAACTAACGGACGACTTTGGGGCCGTTCCTTTCACAGAACTTGTCGTGCAGAGCGTGCCGTCTCAGCAGGGCCAGCCGCAACAGACAGTAGAGTTGGATCCGTTTGGGGCCGCTCCGTTTCCTTCCAAACAGTAGGTTTCTTCCAGGAGCGTTTCTGCATTATTTAATGCGGATTTTTCACACCGTGGTGCTCTGCCTGGTTGAACTGAGGAGAAGTGGATTTTGGTGCAGGCCGTTCCGTCTCTTTGGTGGCCAGATCCTTAGATTTTGAAACCGACTACGTTGAAACATGCAATATTTAGGAGGAGGTGGAAGCGTTTCAGCTAAAAGATCAGACTTCCAAATGAAAGTGATCAAAGGGTAGCTATGGTGGCTGTTCCCTGTGACTGTATTTGCACATAACCACTGTGTCCTTTTGCAAGGCAGTTACACTGCAAGGAGGCAGCGGCTACTGGAATGGGTCTGCCATAGGCCTGATGGGAGAGGAATCCGGAATCTAAATGTTGAAAGCCGAGCTGATCTGGAACGACATCATTTTCTTTGATCAGCGTCTTTTCCTGGTCAGCGTCTCTGAACTTCAGAACTTGATGGCTTGAGGAGACACTCACGTTGGTTTCCAAATAACCCCAAACCTTTGTATATGTACGTGCCAGGATTCTGTTTGGTCCCCCCCCCCCCTCGCAATAAGTGCCATTAATATAACACAGGGACAGAGAAACCTAGTGTCGTAACTCTTAAAATACCAAGACACGGGTTACGAGTCTAGAACAAATTGAGAATGCAGGGGAGGGGGGGAATCAATAACGGTCTATAACTGGACTTTGCAGCACTTTGAGGCAACACAATGCATCTGAAGAGCATGTGGTTTATTTGCGTGTAGCGTTGATGACAGGAGAAGACACAAACCAGAATACTGGTAGCAAGTATAAACATGGCAAAAATCTGTTATACGGTAGGATTTGCACCCAATTTACGTTGTTCTTACTGAGGTTTGTATTCCAGATAAACCGTGTTTACTTTAGGAATGGGTTTTTAATCCCTCTGTAAAATTGCTGATTACCTAATTCTTTGAATGCCGTCTATTACACAATATTGTACCTTTAATCTGCCCTCTAGGAGTTTGTGCAAAAATGCACTGAGCTCTAAACCCCCCCCCCAACAACTTGAATCCAGGCAGTTTCCAGAAAAGGAGCTGTAAAACTGCAGGCTTTAAAAAAAAAAATAATCGCAGATTTGAATCTGCTACCACTGACTGCATAGTAAACCACCATTGCCTTATACTCAGGACCACCATGTCCTGCTGTCAGTTTACCTCTGAGCCAAGCAGTGCCCTTGTGACACTGTTTTAAAAACTTGCAGAACGTAGCAGGTGAGTACATCGAGCATTTTTATGGACCTTCCACTGGGGCCAACGTGTTCACGATGTCCGTGGTGCGCTGTGCTCCATTCCTGGTCAGCTGCAGCCGTTCAAGAGAGCGGCCCGGTACACTGCAGGAGCGTTGGCTGAATGCCTCTCAAGTTTTGTCCGTTCACAAGACAAGAGTTTAGGCCAGCTTGACATTTCCCGAAAGAGGCGTGGGGTATGAGAGAACACCTTAGTAGCCAGCATTTCTGTGTCTGGTCAGGATCCAAAGAACCGTGCAATTGGCTCTTGAGTCCTCGAGTGTGCAATTTGTGTTTTATCGAAACAGCTTCCCTTTGCAATGCTTTGACAAATCACTTCTGAAGCTGGGCAGGTTCCCAAACGGCTTGTTGTATGGCTCAGCTGTTCAAAGGAGAATGGATAAAAATCCCACTGGGGTGTGTATGTGTGTGTAAGTATGACAAAGCTCTCTGGGTCTTAGTCCCCGTGTAGACGTACACCTGTTCCAGTCTGAAGAACTGGTGTGCACTTATATGAGCTGGGATATGGATATGCTTGGGTGTTGCTTCCCTGATGTGAATATGAACCTGTGGGGAAACAGTTGGATTTTAATCGGAGGGGGAGGCAAAATATTAGGTTGAACGAGTAGTCCTTTAGAAGGTGTCCTGCGATGACACCTGTCCTCCAACCACTGTGGGAAATCAAGGTATCAGAGGAGAAATGCATCTTTGGTTAGTTTTATAACATGGCATTAATAAAATATGAGTTTAAGAGATGAAGGGGTCAAGATTGTTTTTAAATGCATACAGAAGTACCTCCTAGAACTGCTGCATCCTACAGTTTTGGTGATCTCTTTTAGATGCAGTTAGAACTGCTCTTTGTGTCTGTTTTCTTTGGCCTGCGCTTACCATCTTTCATATCCCAGGTCAGTGTGGAGTCTGTCTTGTGATCCTCAATATTTTCGTAAAGGAGACATGACTAAAAATGACTGTGCACATACAGGTTTTTTCGCCCACTAGGCGAGGATACATTCTGGCGCCCCCCCCCCCCCCCCGTCCTGGGGGGGAGGGGGGGGGGGGGGGGGGGGGCATACAGGTTTTTTCGCCCACTAGGCGAGGATACATTCTGGCGCCCCCCCCCCGCATGCATGGCGGGACAGGGGTGGGTGCCGGAGCTGCAGCGGGCGAGCCGCAAAAGCATGTGTGGGGGGGGGGGATCCTGTGCCAGGCTGCAAAAGGAGCTCCAAAGGGCGAGCGGCACTTTCCTGCCGTCCCGGGCTGTTCCCCGCACCTGTCCCCCCCGCCTCCTCCTCTTTCTGTCTGGGGGGCTGCAAAGAGGGACGGGGACGGAGCAAGAAGCCGGCAAGGGAGGCTTCCTGTGCGGACAAGGAGGGGACAAGGCCAGCCAGAATGGCGCCCTAGGCAGCGGTCTAAAATTTAACGATAACGGGCTGGCCCTGTGCACATACCTCAGAATGGCTGCTCTTTTACGCTTTGTGCCACCGTGTCCTGGGACAAAAGATTTAAACTTTGCCATTTTTGAAGCTGCAACTAGATCGCCGAAGGGCTGCTTTAACCGTGGCAGTTTTCTACCCAGAAAGTGATCCAGAAGTGGCTTTTGAACATATGAACATGCAATGCAGTCCCATACATGCAAGTTATGTACTATATCCTAAGAAATAGGTCATGATTGAAACGGTCATGCCTATGAGTTGGAGTTCCAGGACTGGCATAGCTGATCATAGCTGCTTAGTCCCAGCTGGAAACCGTCTCTGTTTCTCTAAGCACAAATGCTTTCAAATGGCATAGAGGGTATATGTGTATATATAAAATACAGATCCAGTAGTGCCCCGGCATGGCTGTAAGGGGCTCCCAGCTGTTCACGGTAGAGTGAAGGCCTTATCACCACCGCCACAGACTTCAGCTTCCTACACTGAACACTGAAACAGAGGTGGTGGCAGGGAGACTTTGGGATACAGCAGGAAAGTCCCATTCCATGAACAAAATCCCACTTTTGGTTCTTATGCGTGAAACAGGCACAGAAGCATGACTGATTAATCAAATTGAAGGTTCCCTTGACATTAGTGGGACAAACATTGCAACGAACACTTGTCCCATTAGTAATTTCAACCAATACCGTCTTTCTATGGTAGAAGCAGGGCTTTTTTTGTAGCAGGAACTCCTTTGCATATTAGGTGACACACCCCTAATGTAGCCAATCCTCCAAGAGCTTACAGAGCTCTTCCTACAGGGGCTACTGTAAGCTCTTGGAAGATTGGCTACATTAGGGGTGTGTCGCCTAATATGCAAAGGAGTTCCTGCTACAAAAAGAGCCTTGGGTGGAAGTCTCCTGTTTATGTTGGCATCCAGATAATCTGGTATCTAAATTTAAAGCTGACTATTTCTTCCTCTACCCAACAGATTGCTGGGGGGTCATTTCTGACAATTTCTTTTTAAAACGAACAGGTCAGTGCATTATTTGTGAACCAGAATCTAACATTAGTGCCAGCATTTGGGTTTTTTTTTTCCTACCCAGAAGTTACAGATTAAAATTCTGTAAGATATGTTTCATGTAGACGTGTCAAATGCCTATGCCCAAGGATAGTGGGGGTGAGAAGCACATTTGTATTGTTGGCTATGACTTTCCCATACATTTGTCCAGGAAATTATTTGGGTTGAAAAATGTGCAGGGCTTTTTTAGTTACCACTTCTGGTCTGAGATCAGGATTTCTCAGGAAAGAGATTCTTGTGTTATATTTGCTTAGCCTACGTAAGAGGCTACAGGTCTGCGGAGCTCTAGCAGGACTTCATGCCTAGACATGAAGTGGAAAAAAAACAAAACACCAGTGCGGAAAAAACCGAGAAATTCTGCTGCATTACATTAAGGCCAAAATAACCTAGCAGAAGTTACCTAGCATTCCCAATATTGCCAACAGTTTTTGTTTCTGGAAAGTCTTTTAATATCCCCCCTTAATGTTTTCTTGTTTATTGAAATCTCTCTCTTTTTGCCTAAGACTTAAATTTCATAGGTTTCTGTAAGAAATATATGTTGCTCTTTGTGGTTGGCGACTGTTTAGTTTGAATTTCCCTCTGGTTCCGGATGCCAGTAAAAACAAACAGTGACCAGTAAGTTTGGGAAGGCATCATGGCCTTGACTCTGCCCTGTTGCATATATCTGAAATAAAACCTGCCATAGTATTTCCTGAAACAGAGAGAAGACACGTCCATTCATACCAACGACTGCCAGGCAGGGAATTCTCTCCTGTCTCTCCAGCATCTCCCCCCCCCCCCAATGGTTCAATTGTTCCTGTTTGTGTTCAGCGGACAGTTGGGTATATCTTCCGGCATCAGCCACGTAGCTCCCCTTGTTGCTGAGTCATTCACTATCTGAGACACGCTAATGTCACTCTGAGACACTCCCCACGTAGTCCGGGAAGCTCAGGCTCCCTCGTCCCAACCTTTCAGCGGTCATCTCAATCAATGCTCCCTCTAAGCCGTGGAGTCTTGTGAGCAGGAATTCTACTTTGTGAGCCACTGGCATTAAAGTTGTGAGCGAGCAATTTGGCTACTGTATAAATCAGTTTGCTCTGGAGCCGTCCTTCCTGAGCTAAGACAAAAATGTGTGTGCCGGAGGCTAAAAAACGGTGAGCTAGCTCACACGAACTCAGCTTAGAGGGACGCTGGTCTCAGTATGGCACGCATCAGCTCTAATTCATATCGTGGCGGTGGTGTCCCCTCACAGTGACCGTCTCCTCTCCTCTCTCCTCAAAATCAACACGACCCAGTTTTCAAAAGGTACATCTGATGAACTTGATTCCCCGGTTTCCGCACACCCCCTGCATCAAACCTGGGATACTTTCCCTCTAATCAGAGGTCATTTCGGGGGGGATCGTGGGGAATCGCAGTTCCCCCGAGTGAGGTACAGGGGGGCAGGGCACATGACTAAGCCCCGCCCCCTGCTTCCGGCCCTCATTCAGCCAGGAGGAGGCAGTAGAAGAGGGAGGGTAAGTTGCTTCCTCCCTGCCTCTCCCCACCCCTGCCTGCCTGGGGCCAGGGAGGGCCTTCGCGGGGCTTCCTACTCCCGCCGACCTTGCAGGTCCACCGCCGGGCCCCTCATGGGGCTCGGCAGTGGAGCTGCAAGGCCACCGGTAACGGCTGGGACCGTTGGGGGCGGGATGTGTGGCCTTATGACACACTTCCTGTGATGCCAGGGGGTGTGGCATATGCTAATGTTATGCTAATGAGTTCCCCTAGCTCTTTTTCTGCGAAATGACCCCTGCCTCTAATATCGAATTGATAAGACGAGGAAGGGTCTGCATCGCATAGCTTGGTTCCTGCACCTTTTCAGTGCCATGGCACACTGCTCGCTAATGTAGAGGGGCAGGATTGGTGCCCCGTGAGGAATATGGGAGCCGTGCAGGAGGCCCCTTTTCTCCCAAGGTTAAGGAAAAGAAATGTACTGTGAGACTAAATTGATACAGCTTCTACTGTGAGAATAGCAACTAGAGTTTATCTGGAGATTTTTTTTTATATATTATAGGGTGTATTTTTATAGAGAGAAACTTATATAAAATATCCACACGCACACGTCGCATCTCTTGGAGTTTGTGCTCTAAAGAACATTGCAGTCACAATCCTTTTATGGCATCGGACGAGCAAGTATGGCCAAAAGCTGCTAAAAAGCATAGTGGGGAATGGCAAAGCGGTTGGCGGCCCAGTTATTTTTCTAAAACGCTTCTTTGAAGAGGTGAAATACAGTAATAGTGTGCGTAGCCGGGCTTGGTTTATGCGACGAGGGCCTCACTCAAGAGTAAACAGCATATGGCTATATTTTAATTGCTGGCAAACAGCTTTAAGTGCACTTTCTCAAATGACACTTCCATTTCTTGTTAGACTTGAAATTTCTAAAGCTTTTTTTTGTGCGTGTGTGTGTACCACTAAAACAGAACTTTAACGTCTGTAAAATGTACATGGAAAAAAATAACTTGCAGTTGTTACTAAAGAAATAAAAATAAATCAACCTGGTATCACTACTGTCAGATCCATCGCTGATTGGTGTCATAGATCATATGCAGTGCATCGGTGACAACTGTGTACAGAAACACCATTTCCTGTGTGCGTTCCTCTTCAAAAACCTTTTAATTGCCTTGTTCACAGCTCTTGTCTAAACTGCTCTTAGTTCTGTCAATCCCAGTGGCGTGCTTGTTTTTGGGACTCTTAAGTTACTTGGTCGCACTTGATTCTTTTCTTGTTTCAGGAAGCAATTTTTTATAACTTCATCTGGACAACATGGTACAGAACAGCCCATTAGCATGTTGAAAGAAAAGCCAGTGAAAAAAAGAAACTGATCAGTTTACTGCCAAAGGGGTAGATCCACTTTAGTACATCTGGAGGTGCAAAATAAGCATTTCAGGGGCTGTTTGAGGTGGGAGGGAAAGATGAGGTCATGCTCTAGATGGCTGCTTCTTCCAGCTGCAGACGTTTCCAGTGGATCCAGCAGGGAGAAGAAAGTATATAGTGTTGAAAAACACCTGGAGAGGATCTTTGGTTTGAGCACCGAACTGTCACAGAATATACAAGAATCCCTCTCTCAATCCGTGAAGCTGTCTGTCTGTAGAACAGAGGAACCAAGTTTAACTTGATGCAGCACTGAAAATACTTTGGTGTGTTTTCTCTGGTTCCTCGAAAACGCACCTTTGAGATGTGCATATAACTATTTTTACTAAATAGTAATATTTAAGTGAAGGTTAGCTTGTTTAGAAACTTGTTTTGGAGGCAAATGAGCTGTTGGGAAATTAGTTGCTGTAGATTTTCTGGGTTGGGAAACTTGCTAAAAACAGCAGACAGGGCTAGGCCAGTCTGTGCTACTTCTCCGGGCAGAGCCAGTACTGGAGGCTGAAGGCAGGGCAAAGATCAGCAGTTGACTTTCTTGAGGGGATATTTAGTTTGGTAGGTCACGTAGGCTTGAAAGAGTCCTCACCAGTCAGAAGCCTCAAGGAGGCAGGGAACGGTCAACTGCTGCCCGGGAGACTTTACTACCTGTGCAGGTCACACCGAAATAATACAAACGGATGAAACTGCCTTGTATAGCCTCCGACCATAAGTTCATCTGACATACTCTTCATTCCACAAAGTCACAATAATAATAATAATAATAATAATAATAATAATAATTATTATTATTATTATTATTATTATTTCCATTTATTAATCGCTTTCCCCAGTGGGCTCAAAGCGATGTACAGTTACTCCATATATAGACAAGGGACTAACAATGTTCGTAGGGGATAGGGAAGACGACATATATTCACTTTAATTGCACGCACCGTCACTGCCCGGTGTAGACGTCTTCTGGCTGGCTGCGTCATTTTCCCGCACGGCTGCTTGCTGGCCAGGCCTCAGGACCCGTATGTCAATCGCCACACTGCCACCGCCTGGCCGGAACATCCATTGCAGGCGTTCTTTTCGTAGCCGGGAAGCTGTTTCGCCTTTACAAGCCTTGACCAAGGACGTCCGACCGTCAGCTAACGCCCTCCCACAAGGGAGATTGGCGTGCCCACCCTCTCTAAGGAGTGGTTCCCATTTTATCTACTCGCCGAAGCTTTCGAATCGCTGGGTAGACGATGAGCTGGGGACAACAGGCTGGCTGCTCACACCAGCGCGGGGCTTGAACTAACACAGTTCAGATGTTAAGACAGTGGGATATACCCACTGTGCCACTGCTCCCCAATAAAGTAAACAAGGAACCATTCTCCCAAGATTTATTTTCACTTGAGCTGCTGGGTCATGAACTTGAACCTTATTGCACTCCAAATCTATATGGTGCTCCTAAACAATGTGTAGAAAAATACTTTAGGTTTTGGGCTTTGTAAGCCCCCCACCCCCAATCTAGTTTTTACAGGTTTTCTCTCGCCTAGCAGAAGATGGGCAAGGCAGGAAGGGAAGAAGTCCAGTTGCTCTCAAGTACCGGCTGTACCCCCTCGTGGCTGGGAACAATGAAATGGCCAGCTCACACCTTAGCTGGTATCTAAAATCAACGCTCCCTCTAAGCCGTGGAGTCTTGTGAGCAAAAATTCTACTTTGTGAGCTACTGGCGTTAAAGTTGTGAGCAAGTGATTTGGCTACCGCATAAATTAGTTCGTGCTGGAGCCATCCTTCCTGAGCGAAGACAAAAATGTGTGAGCTGGAGGCTAAAAAACGGTGAGCTAGCTCACAGTGACTCAGCTTAGAGGGAACAGTCTAAAACCTAGAGGGTTTCTTCCCGAAGACTTTGGGGAAAGGATTATTTGGCCTACAAGGGATGGGCAAACAGAATAACATCACTTGCCTGATTCCATCTGGAAGTTGTTGTCACACGTGAGCTCAATTTTTAAGGCCACCAGTACCATGTGGAGCAGACAGGTAGCTTTGCTACCGGGACAAAGATTCCAAGGTAATGGGAAGCCAAGGGCTGAGGCACAGAGGATCATGTGTTTACATCTTTCCTTTGTATTCCTCCCCTCAACCTATTGCCGTGCAGCGGCTACGTATGTGGACCTCTTGCTCTTAATAAATCCTTTAGTATTTTAAATGCTGGCAGTTCTCCATCCTACGTGGGTCTTCTCCACTGCTCAGATATGCGATTTAAAACGGAGAAGGGAGGTGGTGAGTGGCTCAGCTGCTGTTCCTCTGGGAGTGAATGAGTGTGGCAAGCCGCCCAGGCCGTGAGCTAGCTCACACTAACTCAGCTTAGAGGGAACACTGCTCATAACTTTGGTGCAAGAGAGCTTCCCCCTCCTGCAAATCTTAAAAGGTGCAAAAGCCTCTATTATCCACACAACCTGTACCCCGCTGGGCTTCCTACACTTCGCTTATCAGTACACAAACCACCACTTCATCAAACATTCTGTAAATACGCTTTATTTACAGTGCCAATATTTACATAATACACATCATGCCACTAGATTAAATTGCACTCAAATGTTGTTAAAGGATCCCCCCCCCCCCCAAAAAAAAAGTGGGTTTAGGGATTGTCAAACAGCCACCCTCGGCTGCAAGCGAGGCCATCTGAATACAAGTCTATGGAGTCTAATCTAGAATGAGGCTCCAGCAGCAATTATTGATACACATTTGCTTGGCTGATACCACTTCCCTGGGACGGGCTAGAGGTTTAGGAGACAAGACTCACGCCACTGTTCTGTCATTTTTGCATTTAGGTTGCCGCAGTGTCTCTAAAGACCTATTCTGTTAGAAACATCTATATATTATAACACCTTTAAAATAAATTAAAACGAAGACAAGTTCTCTCTCACACAAGCAGCAATTTACAAAGGTGTTTTTTGTGTGTGTCATGGACAGTATGAAAGTGGCCGGAGCCATCACAAACTTTCTTGGCAAACGGGTAAATTCTGTTGCTTCTTTTTTCAATCGTTAAACATTCCCACTCTTCAGGGATTTCTTTTAAAAGGCCTTTGTCCAAGTCTGAAATGAAATCACAGGTTGCTTTCTCTTCCCCCCCCAAAAAAGCTTCCCCCTCTGTGGTGCTAAAAGCAATGTTTTAAAGACCCCCCCCCTTCCACAACACCCATCAATTTCGCTTTCAACATCCACGCGCAAGATTTTTGGCCTTAGTGCTGAGCGCGTCGTGATCTAACGCACTCTCTGCACCAAAAGATAAGGCATTTGTTTCACGTAGCGACAGACAGATGATGTTCCTTAAGGATGCAGCCAGTTTGTCTCACTATGATGCTCCTGAAGGCAGCTGGATGGTATTTGGGTGTGTGTGTGTGTGTTACTTCCCCTGCACAAAAAAGTCACTTCGACAAAGACTGGTTTGCCACTTAGTGCTGTGCTGCATTAAGAGCGTCCAATGAGGTACAACCACGTACCTTATTAAAATTATTAAAATGTAGACTGTGTTCAAGACATTCACCGAGAAGCTTAACCTACTGCAGTGCGACAGACTTCCAGATAAACCCTTGTTTCTGCTCAAGATGAAGTCAGTTTGGTATTCCGGAATGAAACTTAGGAGGGAAGTCACCATCCCTCGCACACAAGCAACAGTCCCACGGCTTTTACCGCACTGGTGTGAGGGAGCAGCGTTGCAACCGGAGACAGTGGCTCTCGGCTTTTTTAAAGGCAGAGTTAATGGAAGCACGTGACTGTTTCACGTGCTGACTCTCTCCACGGCAGGGCAAAGTGCTGCACAAGCCGACTCCTAACAATGACGGTTATCTGCACTAGGTAGGGGGGTCCTGCTTGTCTCTGGTGAAAGTCAGCCATGCTCACTTTTGACCAAATGTGGGCGACGCTGAAGCAAATGAAAATCCTGTTCTGAGTTCCTTGCTCTTATTTAGAAGAGTTATAAAACGGAGAACTGGTCTAGACCTTGCCTGGGGGAGAAGTAGGACATGGAGGGAGGGGGCCAGACTCGCGCCCTCCCTTCCCCTCCCGTAGAACTTTCAATGTGAATCGGTGCATCATTGTCTAGACAGGCTTGCACGCCCATCAGAAGAGCCGATGCTTTGATCGCCACAAGGGATCACATGAGGGAGGGAAGGCATAGAGACCTGCAATTACAGAAACACAACCCTGGTCCCTTCAGTCGTTTCATGTGCAGCAGCTCTTCCCACGCCTCTACCCCTTCACACTTTTTATACACTGGCGCCACAGGCTGACGAGCCAAGGAGTCTGATAACTGGAAGGCAGTGCAGCACAACTTGACAGTTACCAGCTTCACCCTTGGGGGCCTCAGGGTGTAGGCCTCAAACAACCCTTTACTACTATAGCTGTGATGCTGTGACAGAGCTAGCCTAGTGGACTACCGTAGTCTATCCATTAACATTTGCTCAACTTGCCGACAAAAGGCCGATTTCCAGAACAGCAAACTTGGGACCACTCTGAGGCTAGAATCACGGGTTCTGCGGCCGGTTTGGAGACCCTATCCTCATTGGCAGACCATCATCAGACAGGAAGATCTAGGGCGGATGCAGTACGCTTAAGCCTTCCGTATAGTTCCCCCATCCTCAGATCCTGTATGGAGAACGAAGAAATAGGCAGGGGAAAGCAGGCACGGGCTTTAAGCACTCCTCCAGCTACCTTTGCCTTTGGGGGGAAAAAGATCACCCTCGGCCATGTCCTTTTGCTAAGATACGACAGCCGGAGTTTCAAAAGGCCGACTGCAGAGCTCTTCTGGGCTGACGGAACTCACTCACTCGTTGGCAGACCTCTCAAGGAACCACGGGCATTCTTAAATAAACACAAAAAGACAACACGCAAAAGACCACGACAGAAAGAGGCTGCTCTGTGACTGACAATACGTGACATCCTCCCACAGATAACCTTGGAGCCAGTGCCGCTTGGCAAAGAAGCCATTTGTGCATTTAACATTTTTCTTGTATCCATCGACCAACCCTCCGGCTTTGCACGCTTCAGTTTCTAGGGTCACCCAACGGGGGCCTCCGTTGATGATGTAATGTCCTGACGGACTGTTTGGAACCAAAAAGACTGGCGAGGAGGCCCCGTTCTTTCGATGGCTGTGATTGACCTGTTCGGGTGCCGCTGAAGGGAAGCTACGGCGGGTGACTCTTTTGAAGGAAATGGGGGCAGGGGGAGAATCCAGTGAAAATCCATCCGATCTGCAGTTAAGTAGTAGGACCACATCAGTGCAAGGACGCAAAACGTATTAAAAAGGACGACGGAGGACATGGATGTTCCAGTTCCATGTCGGAATGTCCAGTTCCATGTCCAAGGCATGATGTCGGAATTCATGTAAGGAACATTATGTGCACGCATCTTAGAAACCTATCCTCAGTTTTCCAGCTTATCATACCAAAGAGTTCCCAGGCTAAAGCCTCGTTTGATCAGCGGCAGGAACAGAAATCAGTCTTTTTATAGGGCCCAGTCACACTTAGCCGATGCAGGGCAACATCTGCAGGTCTTCTTCTGTCCTAAACTTGTAGAAAAAGTTAACTGGCAGCTGGTTCGGGGAGTCACTCAAATACCTGTTCACGTCTCATCCCTAGCCCAGGACAAGGATTCCCAAAAGATCAACACGGCAACTCAGCTGAACTCAGCCAGAAAGAAGACATTCGCCATCAACCGCGTCATCGCTGTAGCGAAGACAGCCTACAAGACAGAACAAAAGCTGGGTCAAGACCTGTAAATATAATCTCACCAATTTTCATATGTCTTCCAGCGCTTCTGCCAAGAGAGTCTTCCTGAGGGTCAAAGGAGACATTTGTTACAGTCCAAACCTGTTTTGCATCCAGCCTGGGAGGCTCTGTGGGAGTAGATTTAAAAGAATGAACAGAATAAATAGAAGTACGGGGGTACGGGTGTGTTATCCGGCCTGTGGGCGGGAGGTGTTTCCAGCTGACTCTTGGAACGTCAGTTCCGAACACGGGGCAGAAAGGAAACACTAGGCTTGTTCTAGGTGAGCGGGACTCGCTCCGCGGCTCATGGAGAGCCAGCAGCCCGATTACCATCGACCAAAAGAGCCGTGCCATGACTCTACAGCCTGCGCACCATCCCCTTTCCACTGCCAGGGCACCTCTGAGAAGGGCTCTTTTTGTAGAAAAAGCCCAGCAGGAACTCATTAGCATAATAGGCCACACCCAACAGCAGAAACTCATTAGCATATTAGGCCACACCCCTGACAGCACAGCTCATTAGCACATTAGGCCGCACCCCCGTGTTACCAGAAGTGTGCTCATCCAGCCACACCCACCTTTTGCTTCTTATTCTGTTTACCTTGTTTGTTGTCAAAACCCAGGGCCTTTTTTTGTAGCAGGGACTCCTTTGCATGTTAGGCCACACACCCCTAATGTAGCCAATCCTAATGAGTTCCTGCTGTTGGGTGTGGCCTATTATGCTAATGAGTTCCTGCTGGGCGTGGCCAACTTGGGAGCCAGCCGGAACTCCGTTCCTGTGCGTTCCTGCCCAAAAATAGCCCTGCCTCTGAGCATGTAGGGTGCTTCCTCCCCACCACTACTGAACCTTAGCCAAACCCATGTGGACCTGGCATGAGGGGAAGGGGGTCTCTCTCTGTCTTCTCTCTTCCTCCTCAGCATGAGGCACGGCAGCTTGGACCAGAGAGCAAGACCGCCAGTGCGCCCAGAGGAGAGCAAGCTGGCTGGGGAGAAAGGGGAGTGAAACCACCGCCACACTGCTGTGGGCAGCTGGCTCTTTTCATGGGTGGCTGCTGCGGTGGTGGTTGTTCCAAATGGCTGGCTTGCTCTCTTCTCGGCAGCTGCCCAGGGGCTAGGAGGAGAGTGGGGAGGCTATGGAGAAGGGGTCCTGGAGAGGATCAGCCCTTCACTTCCATCTCTGCCATGAAGCTCGCAATTCAGGGAGGCTCACATGGGCCATGGTTCAGTGGCAGAACATCTGTCTGGCATGCAGAAGGTCCCAGGTCCAATCCCTGGCATCTCCTGTTAAAAGGACCAAGAAGTAGGAGCAGTGTTCCCTCTAAACTGAGTTAGTGTGAACTAGCTCAGAGTTTTTTTAGCCTCCGGCTCACACATTTCTGCCTTAGCTCCGGAAGGGTGGCGCCAGAGAAAACTGATTTATGCCATCGCCAAATCGCCTCGCTCGCAACTTTAATGCCAGGAGCTCACAAAGTAGAATTTTTGTTCACAGAGCTCCACAGCTTAGAGGGAACATTGAGTAGGAGATGTGAAAAACCTCAGCCTGGGACCCTGGAGAGCCACTGTCATTCTGAGTAGAGAATATTGACATCAAGAAGAAGAAGAAGAGATTGGATTTATACCCCACCCTTCACTTGGAGTCTCAGAGCGGCTTACAAACTCCTTTCCCTTCCCCTCCCCACAACAGACACCCTGTGAGGTAAAAGAAGAAGAGGAGATTGGATTTATACCCCGCCCTTCACTACCCGAAGGTGTCTCAGAGCGGCTTACAAACTCCCTTCCCCTCCCCTCCCCACAACAGACACCCTGTGAGGTGGGTGGGGCTGAGAGAGCTCTTGACAGAAACTGCTCTTTTTTAAGGACAGCTGTGCCAGAGCTTGTGACTGACCCAAGGTCACATCAGCAGGTGCAAGTGGAGGAGTGGGGAATCAAACCCGGTTCTCCCAGATTAGAGTCCGCACACTTAACCACTACACCAAACTGGCTCAATGGACCAAGGGTCTGATTCAGTCTAAGGCAGCTTCATGTATTCCAGATCTTACAGGCGTGGCACACTCACCCTCTTTCCCACCTCTAAGTCTGGTGCAAAGAGAAGTACCGGAGCGCTGATACCTGGGCAGTAAGGACTCATCAACGATGAGCTAACGCGTAGCTCCCTGTAGAAAGCTCTCCTGTTCCTTGGGGGACAAAAAACCAGAATCTCATTCCCTTCAGTGCACCTTCATATATGCTGGAAGAAGACACACATACCTTAGTGTGTTACTATGCGCTAAGGTCAGGGCACGGCTTGCTGTGTCTGTACTGCATGATGTACACTGTCGATTGGTGCCACCAGTACAACATCATCACCGCGAGGATGTGCCACACTTGGTGGCTGGAGCCGAGGTAGTTCAGCTGCCCTGTTGGGAAAGGGGAGGTGGGAATTAATGCCAGAAATGGTCACTGCGTGTGACGGCAACCTTTGAAGGCACGTGCATTTTATCTATCCCAATTCCCACGTGCAATACTGCCCACTGGCGGATCTGAAAACAAGATGGGGTGTCCCCCTGGCAAGGAAGTACGAAAGCACCCCGATATGGCATGTGGGGAACGCTGCACCCTTCTCGGGCAAGCACCAGCTGTTGGGAGACTTAAACGGGGAAAATCCAGACCTCCTTTCTGTCCTGCTACTGAGCTCCTGGCCATACTTCAAGAACACGACCTTGTGCAAGACGAACCTTTCAGTGTGATCCACCAAGGCAATTCTTTTGTACTACCGAGGTCCAAAATACAATAATATGCCACGAGACGGTGGAATGGGATAAGCAGAGCAGAGCATCTGGGTTTGGGAGCTACACCAGATGAAGAGCTGAAGGACAGTGCTGGCTAGCCCCCTCGCAAAACAGCAAGCTGATCACTGGCCTACACCGCCCCCCCCCCACTTTCTGAGCACGCAGGTGCCTTAGACATTCTAGCACAGCGGGGTGGGGGCACACACAAATGGCTGCTGCGGCTTAACTGCAGCCACACACTGAAGATCCTTGAGTTGTGGTGGTGGCCGCCAGTGTTCCCTCTAAGCTGAGTGAGTGTGAGCTAGCTCACAGTTTTTTAGCCTCCGGCTCACACATTTTTGTCTCAGCTCAGGGAGGAGGGGCTCCAGAGCAAACTGATTTATGCAGCAGCCAAATTGCTGGCTCACAACTTTAATGCCAGTAGCTCACAAAGTAGAGTTTTTTTGCTCACAAGACTCCATAGCTTAGAGGGAGCATTGGTGGCAGCTGCTGCCAAAGCAACCTTAAAAAGCTGCCAATCAGTTCTTCAATGGCCAGTCAGGAGACCTGCTGGGCAAAATCCCCACAGGGCCCTGCCCGCTTTCTAGAAGCGCTTGGTGGGCACCATCAGATCCACAGGCCCCATGTTGGGGATCTCTGGCCTACGCCATACAGAATTCCCAGGGCCCACACAGCAAGAGGGCAATGCAAAATGTCAAGATTCCTCAAATTCTGCAGGTGGCTAAATAATTCTCCTTTCAGAACCGTACATGACAATTCAGATTCCTTTTTGTTGTTCAGTCCCACAGTCGAGTCCGACTCTTCGCGAACCCATGGACCAGATCACGCCAGGCCTTCCTGTCTTCCGCCGTCCTCTGAAGCTTGCTCAATGTAATGTTCGCTGCATCTATGACACTGTCTAGCCATCTCATCCTTTGCCGTCCCCGTCTTCTTTGACCTTCAACCTTTCCCAGCATCAGGGTCTTCAGATTCCTAGATCCCTGCCAATCTGTGCTCTCTGAGCTATTGAAACCTTCACCTTAAAAAGAAAAAAGAATCGTGCAGGTGCATATCCTTACCAGGGAAATATCGTTCTGGGACTTTGGAAATATAGAAGAGGAACGCTATAGCAGCGATGAAGTACATCACAATCACACGTGGCGCGAACTCCTAAGAGAAAGAAACAGGGTTCATTGTTGAGGTCAGAAAGCTCCTGATGACGGACGTTCTCAGGGGAAGGCGGTGTTCCAAACAGGCTCCAGGTATGAGCTATGTTCCTGAACCAGAATGCAAGCAGGTTTACGGAGGCCTATGTTCACTACCCCCAATTGTTGTTTGTGTAGATAGCAGCACAAATAAAACAGCATGTTATTCATTATGGACATTACAAAGCCCCCCCTCTCATCATGCTATTTCCACAAAGGCAGCGCTTCCTAAAGTGAACCCAAACCGAATCTGATGAAAGGAGGGAGCTTCTGACTCTCAAATGCCCAATACCCCCAAAAAATCTTGTTGGTCTCAAACGTGCTCCTGCACTCAAATCTCTAACCTACAGCTTGTTCACAATTTGTGTTTTGTAACTTTGTAACGGCCAATGGCTAATTATAATAAACTAAACTGAAACACTCGAATCAGGCTAAACTAAACCCAAGTCCCTTTTGTGTGTCATCTGAAGCAGACCTGATGAAGCTGTAATCTGACCCTTAACCCAGGATCGCCAACACCACTGCTCTGCAGACGTCTGCGAACTGAAGAAATTGGGACTATAAAGCTCCCAGCCCAGACAACACAGTTCTGCTTCCTGCAAAATTGATCCAGCTAAGGATGCTGGAGGAGGGAACTAGGGAGTTATTCTCATTTCCCCATCCTTATGGGAAGTGGCCCAATCTCATCAGAGCTCAGAAGCTAAATGTTGGATCCCCAAGCATCGAGAATAAATCCACGTTTCAAAGAAAGTAAAGTTTATTTCAAAGCATTGAAAAGATACTCAAACACGTTCTTTGTTAGAACTGAACACAAGCAGTTAGGGCAGACATGATAAAGGGATTCAAGTTAGAAACACAACCAATGGATAACGTTCCCGCTGGCGGGCAGGAGAAAACGGTTGCCTGCTCAAGTCTTGGGAACCAGGCGAACAGTAGACAAAACACAGGTGCAGTTCACAGGCTTGGTGCAGTTCACAGGCTTGATAAGTAAGAAGCTAACAGCGAAGCATACTCTCCCCCTCACATCCTCCAGTTGTTTTACTTTGGCATTACAGCATAGAAAACACAGGGGCCAGCTGGCAGGGACAGGGATCACATATGTACAATCAGAAGTTACACAGAACACCATGGCAGCTTGCTGACACCTGCCCACGCACCTGACAGACCAGAGACAACCTCCTGGGCAGTAAAAGATGCCCAGCAAATGTAGAGACCTGCCCATCCGGCCCCTTCATCAGACAGATAAAAGGGGGGGGTTGCAATGAATGCCAACCATGCAGCAGGCCTGGCTCAGGGCCCAAGCCTTCCCAGCCATAATGTGGCCCTCATAGCCACTCAGCAAAAGTCGCTGATTGTATAGAGTCAGAGGCCATCCTGGGGGTTCTATCTCATGTTATTGCCAACCATAGCCAGGCCCACATGGGACAGCCCGACTCAGCGGCACCCCAGCACAGGTAGCGTTGAAGTACCTGAAGCACTCCCAATGCCTGACCCTTTTCCACGGCCCCTTTCCTTCAAAGTCCCAGAAGTAGAGGAAGACCCGCCACCAAAGAGGGCTGGCTGGGACATCTGACCTGCTGTGATCCGAAGCCACCGATGCTAGACAGCCCTTTACACACATAGGCCAGGTCGTCACGATGCCCTTTGCCGGCTTGCGTCCAGAGCACAGCGGGACTTTCCCAACTCCCCCTCCTGACGTGGTCTACCAAACCCCTTAAGTTTTATTCCGGGGCATTAGGAATACTCATGTACAGTCCACATGACAAGGGGTGGTGGTGGGAGAACGGAGGGAAAGCACATCCCCTCCTGTCATCAGCAAAAATACAGCTAAGATAGATTCCTCTATTTTCATTTTGAGGAGCGGAGCTAATTATATCACATTGAACATAAGAGAAGCCAAATGTTGGATCAGGCCAATGGCCCATCCAGTCCAACACTCTGTCACACAGTGGCCAAAAATACCAGGTGCCGTTAGGAGGTCCAGCAGTGGGGCCAGAACTCCAGAAGCCCCCCACACACTGTTGTCCCCCCCCCCCCCCCAGCCCCTGTTTGCGGGATGGGCAGGGAAAAACTGAA